ATAGCAATTTGTCTAACCTACTAGAACCATTTTAATAAAAATCAATGTGTTTAACTGAAACAATTTCAATTGGGTTGCTAGAACATGTGTAGGCATTTTGAAGTGTCTGTCACACTGTATTCTCTATTATATAAAATGAATCATGTCACAGAATGTTTGTCAATTAGGTTCTCAATCACAGGTGTCTAATATTCTCTTCAGCTATATGCATATTTTCGAACTGTTCAGTGTATCAAACAAAACCTTGGTTTAGATGCAAAAATCATAAAAGAAATATCAGAGTATGGTTAAGCTCCTTCTCTTCACCCCCATCCATATCCAACCTCTTCTCTCCCACCTGCTTACCTAACTGCTGCTTCTCCAGCAGTGCCAGGCCATAGGGTTCCTCTCCTGATTTAGAAACTAACAGATGAGTGGGAGAAAGGGTAGGTATTTTGGAGGCTCATGAGCATAGAGTGAATTTAGAGGATGATAGGTTATAACAGCAGAAGAACAAAGCTTAGAATGAGGCAAGAAAGTTACTTGTATTTGAAGAAAGATGGGAATAGATTCATAACATTACTACTTGGAACCCCAGTGATGTTCTGAAGTGCCATCTATTCATATCCATTTGTTTTATAGTTTATATATGTCATCAGTCAATGTACATAGTGTCTTTCAGAGATTCATGACCAAAAAATAAATGATTAAAAACCCTAACAAAAATATAGACAGATCCTGTCTCCAAAGGAGATTATAGTGAAGAATATGTGGCCTTTGAAACAAACAGAGCAATTCCACATGGATGGTAGTGTGAAGAGGCAGATTACCTATTGTACCCAAAATTATGGCCATCTTACACTAGCAATGGTATGTGATGGCAGTTGCAATCTTACCTCCTCTTTCATTTCACCAGCAGTTTGTAAAAGGGATTCTAAAATAATTTCTTTTCCTTTTCTTTCAGTCTGAATTGCAAATATAATACAACCCATCTTTCATCAGCCACACTGGCAAACTTTTTTGTCATAATTTTATTCTTATTATCTGTTGCTCAATAACATTTTTCTCTGGTTGACAAAAAAAAAACACCTATGATAAAACTAGTTTAAGATCAGTGGGCTAAATCCAGCTGCTCATCCCAACTAGAATAGACTCACTGAATCAGTGAGAGTTCAAGAAATGTGTTCCATTGATTCAGCAGATCCACTCTAGATTAGGCTAATTTAGCTCATAAAATTTGCTGAAATAAGATTTCATAGATATTAGCATCAGCAGTTTAGAAGACTATATTATGTGCTATCAGGTCAATTTCAACATAAGGTGACCCTTTCCAGATTTCTTTTTCCTAATGTAGAGTTCTCAGAAGTAGCTTACAAGTCCCAGTAGAGTTCTCAGAAGTAGCTTACAAGTCCTGAGGGCCCTCTGGGACTGTGTAGCATGCCCAAGGCCACATAGGCTGGCTTTTGTCCTGGGAAGCCCAAGGCCACACAGGCTGGCTTTTGTCCTGGGACAAACAATGGAAAGTCGAACTCCCAACCTCTGACTCCAGCCAGCACTTTAAAAATACAGACAAGCCAAAAATCATAACAAGCAACAAATAATACAAAACCTTTAAAACTTCACAAAACTGGACAACCAAGCTGAACACAGCACAATAGGGAGATCCGATGCATGAGTCAAAATGCATCGAGCAGAATAAGAAGCACAGGTTGCTGTCCTCTGAAGATGCCGGCCACAGAGACTGGCGAAACGTCAGGAAGAACAACCTTCAGAACAAGGCCAAAGAGCCCGAAAAACCCAGAACAACCATCAGAATAAGAAGTCTTTGCCTGTCACAGAATAGACATTAAAATAGGTGGGAAGGGGGTCTCTCCAGGGAGAGCAAGACCATACTGAATAGAACGGAGTATGCCAAAAATTTCATCTGGAAAAAAAGAAGAAAATTCTGATCATTCTCAATCAGTTTTGATCAAAAAGAAATTGTCTTTGAAAAGAATCTAAAAGAAGAGAACTTTTGCACAGTTTTTGCAGACCATGAAAGAAGCTTAAGATTCTCGTGCTTTCCTTACTTTGGAGGTGGCTCGAATTGTGTTAAAATGCCTCTGTACAATCATTTTTTGTGGTAGTTAGCAGCCCATCCCCCTGATTCTGGCAATTTAATTAAAGCCTGGAGGAAATTATTTTAATTGGCTGAATATCTCAGTGTGTTGGAGCAGGAGTCTGACTTTGGCTCCCAGAAGAAACAGCCTGTTTGGTTTTGGGTAGAGTGCACACACCCCAGAGGAGAGAATGGTAAACCACTTCTACCTAGGAAAACCTGTAAAGGGTCGTCATAAACCAGAATTGATTGGACAGCACAGTATTATTAATAATACCTTCCACAAGTCTCGTTTCAGATGAAAAAGTGTGGGCAACCGGGGAAGCTGCAGAGTGATAAAGAGATCTGTAATAGAAATTGGAGGGAGTAGGGAATGCAACATACTCTGTCACCTTGCAGAGTTATAGTAAGCACTAAAAAACAAGACATTCTAAAGGGTCCTGAGAGAAAAAAATTGAAGCTTTCATGGGGAAAATGTTTTAAGAAATTGGAGGATGAATTATGACACTGAACTGGCTTCACCTTACTGGGAAGGAGTGGTTTTATAAGCATGTGCAGGAGAGACAACATATATTTACAATGACTTTTCCAAAACGTACTGTTTGGAAGGTTTGGGGTAGATATTGAATCATGGGCAGTGACATCAAACAGTGAGCCTGGCCTCTTTTCTTTTCTGAAAAGTGTTTTGTCACATTCCTTTTTTCTACTCCCCTAGAAAGAAAAGGCCATTTGCAAAATTATTTCCAAAATTTCTCTATGTTTATATCTAGTTGCCACCCTACCACCAACGCAATCACAGAGCCCTAAAAAGGCACTTCATAGAAGGCGTGGTGGAGAGAGGAGAATGTTACTGCTTGATTCCTGCATTGAACAGGAGGTTGAACCCAATGGACTTATAGACCCCTTCCAACTCAATTGTTCTACAATTCTGCTTTCAGTGAGAGTGCAAAACAGTCCTATGAAGGGAAAACAGCAAAGCTGTTCTGCAGCTGGTCTTATAATGAGCTTCTAGGAAATTATTGAAGAAATTCTCCTTTTCTTGAGAAAATTCAATTAAATCCTATCCTCCCCCACCCCATTCTCTTACAGAAATAAGTTGGAGAATTTTGAAAGGCTAATTTGAAAGACTGCACATTTATAAATCTTGTAATGATTCATGTCTTGGGCCCTGACAGAAGAGTCTCCAAACAGAGTTGCAGTCAGGATAAATAAAACGTTTTCATTATTATTTTAAAAGAATTAACTTTTAACAACAGTGATTGAGATGATTAGGTGCAATGGATAGCTGATTTCTGAGAGAGACATTCCAATAAGTATTGAGGTCCTTAACCGTTATTGCATGCAGTATTCTGGAGTTTTTCCTCCAAATCTGAAAATACTGCATATACAGTAAGCATTGAATTGGGGCTTCTTTTCCTGTGGTAAGAAATCGTACTTGGAGGATATACAAGAAACATTCTTATATCCACCTCACAGATTTATATACTTGCTAGTTGTGTACCTAACTTTTCACACTGTGGTATTGACAGCAAAGCTTTAAAAAAACTTTTGATTGTAAGCTACAGAGCCTGTGACTTTTGTGTAATATTAAAAGGCATCTTGAAAGTCTAAAAACAGAACAAAATGGAAGGAAATGAAGCCGGGAGGTGGGGGTGACTTTAGATGATAATTTCTTGTTTAATGTATTTACAGAAAACAGGGAAATATCACAATAATCAACCCAGTTTTTTGCCTTCAGCCTGTCTGAGGCCATGTGGGTTGGAGTCTGACCACTAGTCCGAAAAGGAAAGGCTGTTTTGCAAGAGTTCTGGGGTGTTTTTTCCTGGAAAAGGTGAGAGGCTCAAAACAGAACTCTGTCAAATAAACCTTGTGCCTTATATGATAATATGAATGTATATATACAGAGCTGTTGTTAAGCAGTTGGAGACCAATGTTCTTTTCATCTACTTCTCGTATCGGTAGATTTTTTAAAAATCAAAATTTAAATGTCATGCTCTGTTTCAGTTGAGTGGGATGAATCCTATTCTGGGTTTTGCTTATTAGTATTTAGTGCTTCACAGTTTCTAGTCCATCAACAGCAAACAGGAAATCTGGAAATGTCAGAAGGAATATTGCTTTAATATTTGGAATTCAGGTTTGCATGAGACATCCTTGTTCTGTTGCAATACTGAAGTCTGCTGTGTGAAGTGGAAATTTTAAAAGATTGTTTATGGTTCATTTTGTTCTCCAAGTCATTCATTTCTAAATATCTACTGCTATTTTTGTTCATGCTTCCTATATATTATTTAAAAAATACCAGGCACAGTCAATCAAAATTGTAAAAACATTGACTGGTATTATATAACAGATACAACTTTTAACAAAACAAAACTATTATTATTATTATCATCATCATATTTTTCTTCTTCTCCTTTTTCTTCTATTACATCTTGGTAAAAAAATTGTCTGGTTTTTCTGTAATATTTGTCTCTTATGAAAAATCTTTTTTTTTTTACATTCATGCTATTTTCCCTGTATATCTGTTTCTGTCCATTAAATCAACATTTCATTATATTGATCCTCAATATCTGTTTGTTAATGATATCACTAGAGGGCAGTATTGATTAAATTAGTCTACATGACCTTGCTTATTAAAAGCAGAAAAACACCTGTACCAGCTGAAATGTATTTTATTATCATATACTGTGTCCAAATAATCTTGCATTTCTGTTTCTCCATCTTACCTGTCTGGTCTGTAGAAAACCATATTATGTTTTTTTCCAAAACCAATGCATATGGGACTTTTGCAACATATTCATGGCCAGAGGAAGGCTTTTCTAATATTTTTGGAAGTGATAACTGTGAGCTTGGTAAATATACTGAAGAATTCTCTGATAAATTTTAAAATTCAGATGCTAACTCATTTGTTCCTGTTGTCTTACAGGTCTCCTGACAAATGGAACAACAGAGAAGCCTTGTGGGAGTTTTTAGGCTCTTTGTGGGCTACATTCCCTAATCAAGTTTTCACTGCTGTGGATCATCATCCATTACATGTCATCAGTTCAACTGTCTCTTTCTCTGTATTTCATCAAAGACAGCATAATTCTACATTATGAGCTAAAGTCTGTTCCATCATACTAAAGAGCATTGGACTAAGGAATAGAGTTGTAAGAGAAATGCTTGGGCATTAGCAATACAAAAACAACAAAACAAAACACCAATTCACAGTCAACGTCTCATCTGCGTTACAAGTCACTGCTGGACTTGATCTGTGGTGATGTTTTAATCTGAAAAATCAACTACACTGGAGTGTTCTCATCCCAATCCGCCTTAGAGAAGACTGTTTTGTCTATGGGAGGACAATAAGGTGCGGAAGACAATTTCTTCTTGTGCCCTAGACTGCCTGAATTGCTTTATTTTCTTAAGTTTCCGTATATACAATAGACCAAAGAGCAAAATTTATTTTGAAGTGGACACAATGTTACTGTTAAAAGAAATTGGGGGTTTCAGCATTATGGGGACTACCCGGCACGACTTTGACTTGCCTTGTGCTGCAGTGTTGCTGTCCAGCAAATGTCTTCATGGAACATTGCAGAAAAAGCTGGAACAGCTCTTGGAAAAAAGTACAATAAGAAACACAAGGGAACAAGGAGAGAAAATGGCCGTTCTTCAACAAGAAAACAGAACTTGGATTAAAAACAACATAGACTGTCTACGCACCACCTTTATTCTTCCGTGCTTAGATTGACTTCTCGTACTAAAATCATTTTGAGTTTAACCAGTTCAACATGCCTCTTCTATGGTTCCATTTCTTTTGATCGTTAAAAGTTGGATAATACAGTATTTGCAAAGAGCATGTTCGGTCATCTGTGGCCTATGTCTCATCTGAAACACCATTTAGCACCAGAAAGCAGATCCGAGGGGGGGAGTAACACTTGTTTGAAAGAGATCATTAAATGTATTTTGAAAAGCCTAAAGTTATATATTTAACAGTTTTTATATGTTGTATATTTGTAGAAAATCCTATTTAACAATTAACGTGGTAACTCTGACAGTCATGACAAAAATGGTTCAGAGTTAAGTTGTGTTTATATTACTTCAGTTGTCTCTGAAGTTACTGGTGTAGTTTGCTTTCTTCCATTGGGACATTCTGGATGTAAAGCATGGCCAGAGAGGACTCTGTAGAAAAAGCAAAGAACAATGTTGTTTATATTACATAAATGCATTCAACCATTGCACTTGTGGAAGGCTTTCTGTTTCTCTCTCTCTCTTCTTTCCCTCTATTTTGCTTTTTTTACCCCCCTTTTTCTTTGAGGGATGGTGGTCTTTTATATACCAGTAAAACAGTGTACAATATTTTAGTCACTTGCTTTCCATACTGAGTTATGTTTTTTTTCCTCTCTCTCCTGTCCTTTCGAATTTGATAACAAAGGTCAGCTTAATTAAAATGGGTTGGTTTGGGTTTTTTACCTCATACTTTAAAAAGCCCTCTTGTTCAATATTATAGAGTAGTGAAAAGTTACATAAGAGTGATATTTAAGAAACAAGAAAAGGAAAAAAATTAGAACAAAACCTCCAGAAGTGGTACCCCTCTCATCTACAAGTCTGGCTCACAGAGATATAATGAAGTCAAGAAATGGAATTTCCTCCTTCCCCACAAATATTTGCTGATATTAAACTCCCCTCCCCATGTCCACTGTAGTATACTACCTAAATACTCCAATTAACTTTAAATATTATGCTAGTTCTATGCTACTAAAGAAAAATATATAGGGATTGTAAAAGCAACCATAGATGAGAGGTATGAAAAAGAAGTTCATTTGTACAAGATCTCTCCTGATTTCAGGATTATTTTAATACACAGGTTGAGGAAACCATGAATTATAGGTGACAGTGTCTATGAATAAAATATTTGCTTAGATTGTCTTATTTCATCATAAGGGTTTTGATCAGTGTCCAAGTAGCAATTAACGCCCAGCCACCTGAAGAGTATTATGAACTGACTGCACTATAAATGACCAATGTCTGATTTAAAATGTCATGCAATAAGTGATGGTAGATACTTCACCTGTATTATAAGAATTGGAGAGCCAAATCCCTCACTCCACTGAGTTTCTCTTCTGTTACAGATTTATTTTTCAAAGGGAGTGTAGTAGCCTTATTTAGTAAATACTGAACAAAAATTAAAATGTTTCAACATTTTTTGTTGCTTTACAGTATTCAGTTTTGTGTTGGTTCAGCTAAATTATGAAAAAAATAAAATCCTTTTATAAGCAAGACTTGCTCACTACTCATGACATGAGACAACTGTTTCGTTTTTTGTTTTGTTTTTTGGAAGGAGGGAGGGAATGAGGAAAGAAGGGTTCTGTGGAGAGAATGACTGAACATTGCATATTTACAAACTGACTGCATGCTAAGGACTATTTCTGTGTCATAATTGAGGTTAAAGGTGCAACCATCTGCTTTACATGGCTTTCAAAAGCCAAGAACATTTCAGCAATGTGAAATGACATCCACTTTTTTGCAATGTAAGATGATTATCTGGGTTTATCCAAATCAAGCTAACAGTTATGTGTACTTTGCTTTGGGGTTGGATCTGGACTTAATCATAGTTAGAGTAAAACCTTTAAAACAAATGGAGTTTCAGTTTATCATTACTTACTTGTTTCATGGATTTCAGTGAGACTACTCTATGCTTGACTAAGTCTGGAGCTAACCAGTTGCTGAAATCCTGTTGTTTACAGTAGGAAGTTACAACTAGAGTAGGACCATTGAATCAGTGAGGAATTGAGTCACCTTTGTAAATTATGCCATTGATGCAGTGGACCTACTATAGATGCAAATTCTAAGCAACAGGATTTCAGCTAGTGATTATCTTGGATTCTAGGATGACTTAAATTAAAGAGATTTACCAGACACTCCTCCTCCTCCACCTCCCCACTCCATCTGAAGCCACAGAAGCCATCAAAGCCCTTTCCACTGGGAGGGAGTGAAAGAGTGGTCGACCAGACCAGATGGGCGGGATATAAATCAAATAAATAAATAAATAAATAAAAATCTGGGGCATCATGTACCTAATTGTTCAGAGTTTTAAGAAACTGGTTTCCATGAGCTTTGTGAAATTCCAGGATTTCCCTCCACAAGGTCATTGTACTAAACTGTGGTTTCTATCCTTGGGTTTTTTTTTTTAAACATTTAGTTATTTGAAAACTTTTCAGTTACATATTACAAAACTTTTTAAAAAATATTTCAAATCTGTAGCTTCTTTTTTCCTGTTGAGGGTAAAACCAAATGGAAAAAAAGGGGGGAAAACTTCTGAATTATACATGCCTAATAAAGCTGTTATATACTTTTGTTTTACCTTACCCACTGAACTCAGGATTAGTTCTATAATGCTACCTTGGTTTTTGCTGAATTTATTTCTTGATGTATGCAGAGGTTTGCTTTGATACCACGAGGTCCTCCTTTCCTTTAATTGCTTTCTAAATCGTGTCATTGAAATATTTCCCAACTGTTTGTAGGTAGAGTAAATCTTGCCTCTATTCTAAGAATTGCATTAGACATATTTGGTTCTTCCTGCATTGTCTGGATTCCAAAGAAAATAAAAGAAAATCCACAATAACCACTCCAATGCACTCTAATTAGAAATGAATTTCAGCCTAGTTTTCTTTGACAGCAGCCTCGGGCAAATTCCAAAGGCAGCTTCCTTCCAAACTGTCTTTCCAAAATGTACAGTTCTGAATGAGCATCCAGTATTTGCTTGTTACATAAATTGAAATGTGTTTCTCTGTAGTGCTGGCATTTTTATAAAAGGTAAGGTTATTTGAAAGGGATGTGTTTCTGAAGCAAAAATCTGTGCTTGAATGTAGAGAGGAAATAAATACCCTCTCCTGTTAATATTGTCAAAGGCAAATACTATAAAAAACGAACAGATGAGCATAGTCGCCTTTTTCTGGTTGGTAAATTGTCCTGATGCTGTTGGAAAGGCTGTATGTGAAAAACCACGGATGAAGAAATCATATCATTATTATAATATACATGGAAGCAAGACAGTCTAGCACTCTTGTCATGGAAATATTGAGAAACCCAAACTGCTTTGCTAAATAAGACCAAGGTTCTTCTAAGGTGCAGCATGGTGTTTCAACTGCATCCAGTAGGATGTGTTCAAAACTCCTTTCAAGACCAAATTCTAAACAAGTTAAAATATTAGAATCATTTTTAAAATAATTCATGTCCTGACACAGCCTTTTCATATAATGTCTCCAATTTTATATCATGCCTATACATGTTTAACCCTCCTGCACAAGATGGAACATCCTTAGAGTTGTCTGTCATAGCAGTATTACACCTAAAATGTAGGCATTCTGTGCCATTGTCAGCTGGTAAACAATGTCAGCTATTTGCCATGTAACAAACAAATCAAACAAAATGACACTCACACACACACAAAACCAATAAGGCTGTGATTGTAGTATTTTGTTGTCCAATTCAGTGTGCGTGTACTGAAACAAGAATACATATCATGCCATTTTCAGGGGTGGGGAGCAAACATAGGATGTAACAAAGCAGACGTAATATGCTCTGGTTGGCCCCACTGAGGGGAAACTGACTTTTATTTAAGGGTTAGGGATAGGATTGCTGGGAAATTACTAATGGCCGTAGCCAGAACCTCAATATACTGCAATTCTGATTGTGGTCAAAAAATGCATGGCTCACTCAAAGTTTTTCTTTTGTTTCTTGTGCAAACCACATCACTCAAACATTACTGTTTCATTAAACACAGAAGAGGAAAAGAGAAAGAGACAAGTACTGTGTAAATGTAGTATCATGCATAGCTTGTTTCTTTCCTTGTTAAAGCTTCTGGCTCTTCATAGCAATAGTGAAATAAATTATTAGCAATATATTTTATGATATCCAATCTGGTGTAGTGGATTGAGCGATGAACTAGGATTTAGGAGGTCTGAGTTTCAATCCCCACCCAGCTCTGGAAACTCACAGGGAGTAGTATGTAACTAGTAAAGCCACTCTTAAATATCTCACTTACCATGAAAGACCTATTAGGTTCACCATAAGTCAGTTCCAATTCAACAGCACATAACAACAAATTTTATAGGATTCATTAAGCATTATACAATTGTCATAATAGAAAGCTGTCATCATGATTTTACTTGATCATATTTGTTTTTTAAACAATTGTGGCGGCTTTTAGCCAATACAATAAACTTGAACTTTAGAAAGCTGTCACCTAGTTAACATACAAAGTTTCTGTTTCAATTATTTTTGTTCGCCAGAATGAGATTTACTGATTAGGTGAGCAAGCCAATTACTAGCTTTGTTTAGGCAAGGGTCAGTTCTCAGCCAATGTCTTATTATCAAGGACTTAGACAAAAGCTCAGCTAGGCATTAAGGGGCATTGCGTACATTTCAAATGGGGAAAAAAATCCACATTTGTTTGCCATATTCAACAATAAAACTAAATTTAGTCCCAGGAATCTCAAAAGTATACCTGGATCACATACCCATTTGCAAACTCCAGATTATGATATTCACCTTGTGCATTTTTATATGTCCCCTTCTAAAATCAGATATATTTTCAAGAGCTGCAAAGGTTTCATGAGCTTCTCTCCCTGCTGGAGGAAAGGGTAGATTCGATATTTGTAGAAACAAATGGATTCCTAACACATAGTACAGTTGTGTTTGTTTGTCATCTGTAATGTTGTGAATCAAATCACTTTACAAGTGCCATATTTGTTGTAGTTTTGTAAATGTTGTGAAAAACAGTGTAGCAAGTGAATCCAACATACAGAACAAGCCTTTATAAAAATTTGATGTGCATGATTTTTTTTTCCAGAGAAAACATGGTGGCGCCACACAAAGCATGGTGAAGCCCTCACAAATCAGTCAGTTAGCCTGTTTGGTGTGCAAGGGGGAAAAAAGCATCAGCACAACTGTCAAACTACTTTAAGGAGTGAATAAGGCTGCGACTACACTGGCAAGCCAAACTGCTCCAGCTTTCGAGCTGTCATTTAATTCCCATAGTGGATTACAACTGACTTCATGATCAGTGATCACACAGGGGCTGCAGATTTAATTGAGAGTTCAGTGTTCACACTCCATGTGATGTGATTTGTATTGCACCTCTCACACACCTTTCTTTCCTCTGGTCCTGCCTCTGCCAATCTTTTTATGGTTTGCTGTCAAGCCACTTTGGCTGCAGTGTCCCAAAAAGGTGGCAGCATCCCAAAGTTCCTCTAAATGTGTACATAAATACCACCTATCACAGGAATGTCTTTTACTGCATCTGTTTCTGTTTTGTTAAAAAAAAAATCTCATCCAGACTTGATCTAGCTCTAAACTAGGATATCAACATTAGTGATAAGGTGGTCTAATGCTAATTACATATAAGTTAAAAAAACAAAAATATAAGTTAAAAAACAAAAATGGAAGACAAATGGGAGGAAAGAACATTTTTGCCACAGTCCTGAACATCATGCCCCATTTGCCTGTGTCACCAAAACACCAACCACAGAATATTCCCCTGTGGTTGTTGTGGGTTTTTCGGGCTCTTTGGCCATGTTCTGAAGGTTGTTCTTCCTAATGTTTCGCCAGTCTCTGTGGCTGGCATCTTCAGATCCCGGCTGTGAAAGCCTTTGTGAATACAATATTCCTCTGTCTTTCCAATAAAGAATCAACTGATTTCATAGGAAAAGTCCCGCTGAATCAGTCCATCTTTAAAAAGTAGAAGCCCCTGATAGCAGAGAGAAAAATGCCATTTTGGGAGCAAAAAGGGCTGAACTGATTCAAATTAACCTTTATGTTGTGTGTTTAAAAAATAAATACATACTGTAAATACTTTGACTTGACCTATTCTATAGCCACAGCAAATCCCTGAGTACTTGATCACATAGTCACAGCCTACGATAACAATTTGACTTGGATTATCTAATAAATATTCAATATAAAACTTGATCAATACCAGCTTGCAAAGGTATTATGTATATCGAATCCACACGATGGAGTGAGCCCCTGTCGCTTGTCCCAGCTCCCGCCAACCTAGCGGTTCAAAAGCATGCAAATGCAAGTAGATCAATAGGGACCACCTCGGTGGGAAAGTAACAGCGTTCCGTGTCTAAATCACACTGGCCATGTGACCACGGAAGATTGTCTTCGGACAAATGCTGGCTCTATGGCTTGGAAACGGGGATGAGCACCGCCCCCTAGAGTCGAAGACGACTGGACAAAAATTGTCAAGGGGAATCTTTACCTTTACCTTATATATAATTAATACATCTCCTGAAGAGAAACTAGGCAACCAGTTGTTTAGTTCCTCTTTGCGAGAACCAGAAACAGACCCATCATTGGACAAATGCATTTGTTCCATCTTCTGGCTACATCAACAGTCCAGAGATTGGTTCTTTTTGTGTTTTGCCTGTTGAAAGTTGGTGTTGGTGTTCTTTCTT